TTATAATAGACTGATTATGCTCATTATTATGAAAAGTTTTTAATTAATTATTTTTTTTTTTTTATTATTTTTTTTTTTTTCGTTTTTATTTTTTTTTCTGTACTGTTTTTTATTCGATTGTATTGCAACTGGGATAAATTTATGACATTTTAAATAGTTTTACACCGATGCAGGAGCTTTATGACACTGTCAGTAGATACACTGGGCGCGGTACACCATCTCATTTTTCTGCTAGGGTTCATCCCCGGAAGGCTGCGAGTCAATTTGTGGGTTCCTCTATTTTTCATGGACGTCTAAACTCTTTTTGTGCTGCGTTGGTGGCTCGCTTTATGGCTTCGAATGAAGTACTTGTTGTTGTATCGCGTGATGCAGTTCAAAGTATTTCCTGTGATGGTTATGCACTGCAGCCGAGAAGCTCAACGCCCGGACCCACTGCGGGGGAAATAACAGGAGTTGTTACCTCTGATGGTTTTACAACTGTTGGATATAGCGCCGGTGTGACTAGATATTCGCCTAGTCTTCAGCTAGAAAGAGAACTGTTGTTTGATGGATACTCGAATAGCATTTTGAGTATTGCAGTTACACCTGATGGCACATGCATAGCCACTGGTGGTGGAAATGCAACAGTAACAGTGTGGACACGTGATATGAACCCTATGCATTATCTTTCTGGTCACACGGATTGGGTTCGTTTTGTTAAATTTACAAAAGGAAAGAGTCAGAGATTGGAATTGTTTAGCACTGGAGATGATGGACTTATTCTTCACTGGGATCCAATTGCTGGGGTGATGCTTTCAAGATTGGATTATTCACATGGAGAAAGTGTTCACGCCTTTGAAGTTTCATGGAGAACAGGTTTTATGGCGATAGCCTGCGATAGCCCAGTAATTACATTATATAAACCACGAGAAAATGGAATGATAATGCCTTGCCACCCAGAGATGAGCACAGTAGAAAATATTGGACAAATAACCGATGCCCACCGACTGGTTCCCACTGCAGTCAGGTTTTCTGAAGATTCACAATGGGTTATTAGTGCTGGGGAAGACGAGACACTTGCTGTTTCTTCTGTTCGTAAGCTGAAAAGGGTTTTTGTATGTACTGAGTTTATCACAAGACGACATTGCATGGCCTTTATGAATACGTTTACTTCTCTCTGTATACTCGCATCTCCACCCGAAACATCTGTACTAATTATTGCGGCATGTGCGACGGATGGAACGGTTGTTCAATGGGTTGTTAATCCGGCAACCTCAAGATCTAGCTACACGAAAAAACTGCAGCTTCATCTTGGGGCGCTTGTGGCTATGGATATTATGCGTGACGGCACTGGATCCTAATTTAATCGGGGGTGATTTTTTTTCTGCATATTTGTGTTTTCTGCACGGAGGATATGTGAGGCAATAACTGCCTCTTTACAAAGACAAGCAAATAATAATAATAATAATACTAATAATAAATCCCTTCCTATTTGCTTCCCAACAACGAATAAGGGAATAGAGACTCATCGGTGCATATTATTTGTATTTATTTATTTATTTTTTATATTTTTCTATTTTCTGTTCAAATGAGATTAATGTCACTCATTTTGGCCGATGGGTTGGAGAAAGAAGCAAGAAGAATTATAGCTTCTGAAAATGCCTTTGATGCTCTTGCATTAAACCCTGTGGATGCAAAGGGTGATGTTGTGTTGAAAAGATACGAGGAGAAAGTCGCTCCACTTCGACGTTTGGTGAGGAATCGACTGGCAATGGAGGCTAAGGCCCGACTGGATCACGCCAAAGTACTTCTTCTAGATGACGCTCTTCGCGCTAAGGAGTTAATTCGTTTCAATGAGCAAAAACGAAGTGCCATGAAGGAAAGGGAAGAGTTACAGACTCTTGAAGCGCGAACCAAATTATTGGAACTTCGTGCGGCAGCGCTTTTACAGTAGTTTTCTTTATTTTTATCCGGGATGGTGTCTTTATAAAGAATAATTCTGGTTTTATATTCAATGACTTTTGATTTATTCTTCCACCTGAACTATCGTTTGCTCTCTTCTCATCATTGTAGTGTGATAAAGGAAAAAAGAAAGCAACACCAACAAAAATCCAGTAAGAAAACAAAAACGAAACAAACAAGAAAAAAAAAAAAAAAAAAGAAAAAAAAAAAAGAGGAAAAACAGAAGAAAAGGTTTATAAACAAAAATAAAAATGCAACGCAGTCTAATCGCAGGCCACAACAACAACCGTCACCTCAATTATGAGGAACTTGAGAACAATATTGGTGGTTTGCCTATTACTGAAAACAAGCTTCAAGAGCTTTTTGACTCACTCGACACGGAGCACAATGGCTACCTTGCTATTGAAGATGTCAAAGTATTTTACAAGGGTTTGGAGCACTATGGTCTGGATCCCACGGACGCAGAAGTAGCAAATGAGATCCGGAAGTATGCGAAGAGTGATGACAATTTTATGACATTCGATGAGTTTTGCTGCCTCATGCTGAATTTTGCTCAGCGATAAAAAGCAGGCGTTGAGGAACGACAACAATCAGAATGGAATAATAATAACAACAAAAACAACAAAAAAATCAAATGTAAAAATTCTAGGAGCACCCATCGATGAGTGAATGGATGCCCCAATAATTCCATATACGGGGGCTCAGTGTATGTGTGTGTGGAAAGTAAACTCACTCCACCAGAAAGAAAAGAAAAAAAGGAAGGAAAAAAAAAAAAAATACCGCATTTGCGGGTACGGAAGAAAGGAAAATGTATGTAGAATATATGTGTTCTTGTGTTTTAAAAGAAAGGAAAAAAAAAAAAAAAAATGAAGCAAAGGAAAATGAAGAGGAAAATTGAACGAGGAGATGGTTGCAAGTTGCAACAAATATTTTTTTTTCCTTTTTGCTTTGTTTTTTTCTTCTTTTTTTTGTCCAACACGCTTGTTCTCTTATTGATATGGGAGTGACACAGCGTGTGCCTATGCGTGTCGACAAGATTGTCTCGTTTCTTGCTTAATCATCATGTGGAAATCTATTCTTTTTTTTTTTTTTTTTTTTTGTTTCTTATGTGTGTGTTTGTTTGTATTTTTTGTTGTTGTTGTCTTTTAAGAGATGCCAGGTTCTGAAGTTTATTGCGCAGAAGAGGCACATGTAGAAAGGCTTGAAGGCACTGAGGTGCCCACAAGGAACGGTCCGTGTCCACCTGTTCAGGGGCGTTGCGAGGCTGGACGAATTCGGGGGTCTACACAAGCGGAAGATGATCGTGTTATTTTTGCTGAGGAGATCAAAAAGGGCACAGAGAACGTTGTAGCTGCGGCGCTGAATTGCACCTCTTTGGTGAAGTCCCGCCCTGTTTTTCATAGATTTAAGGCTGAAAGCGAAAGACGAGCTCTTCTTTCTTCCTTAGAGTTGCTGTTGCGTTTATACTTTCTCGATTGTGAAAACAAGGCTTTATTGACCGCCATACATGGTCTTCGCAATCAATTAGCGGACCTGCGAAATCAAGACGTCTTTGGCTGTGCACGTGGGAAGTACCCAGAGGTGTACATTTTGTATGAGTTTTTTTCACTGCGGAAACTTTTGCTAAATTGGGGGAAATTGGGAGCTGATAACCAAATAGCGGCTATGGAAACAGCGCTGAAACTTGTAGTGCTTGTAAAGTCCTTGGCATACATGGCGTTGGAGGCACATTTAAGGGCTGCCAAAGAGAAGCCACAGTTGGTAGAGAAAAGTGTGACGAATATAGTTGCTTGTTTGGATCAGGCCTGTTGCGATACACCGTACGGCTTTTTTTCTGTCTGTTGCAATGTAATACCGGCAGTACATCCTCACTACAGAAGTCCAGTGGGAAAATTAGCACCTGAGCTCGTCTTGAAAGAGGAGGGGGGCGAAACGGATGACGATAACATCACTTCCCCAGAGGATGAGTTTGTTGGCCGCGTGATTGGGCTGGCTCATCCTTTATCCAAGAAGCGAATGATGGATCGCCCGGAATCACGGCAAGCACAGGGAGCTCGCCAGCGACACACCGACAAAGTCAAAAAAGAACACAACGTCTGCTGTTCCAAGTATCACACACAGTATTCTGCCCCTGAAAGGCACGCCAGCAAGGAGTGTCAGTTTTGCGTTGTATGCCACATGATGGAAATACTATTTAACGGATACACCAAAAAATGTTGCTGGGGACATGATCCTAGTGAGAATCGGATAGCGTTCCACCTCAAGCGTTACCCTCGAGTTTATGAAGCCGCGTTGCAGCGCCTTGCAAAATGGCGGCAAGGTGTTTCATTACCACCGTGTAAAAGTATCTTTTAGATGCTCATGGTGCATCTCCATGAGGGGGAAGAAAAGAAACACACACAGACACAAGAGAGCTCAAAAAAAAAAAAAAAAAAAGGGAGGGTGAAACAAAGACATCTTTTTGTAATTGTTTTGCTTTGCTCATAGAATCAGTACCTTTTTCTTTTTTAAAAACCGCCAACATTGTCTCCATTTTGAAAAGAAGAGAAAAAAAAGGCTAAACAAACAGCCAGCTCCCAAAAGAAACAACAACAAAATGTTTTGCTGCTTATGACTTTTTCTTTTCTTATCTCATTCTATATTTTGTTCGGTGTAAATGTTATAACCGTTATTTTATTCAGGTCGTTTCTTAATGTCTGTGCAAGAATTTGATCCGAGAAATAATGTTGCTCCATCCATGGATGCCCTCATCGGGGAGACCCCGGCGGTGTATCTCAAAAGAATGAATGATACTGCTGCCACAATTGTTCTCAAGCTGGAATGCGAGAACCCCATGGCGTCCGTGAAGGATCGCCTTGCCTACGCTATATATGATAAGGCGGAAAAGGAAGGAAAAATAATTCCTGGCAAAAGTGTCATTGTGGAGGCCACAAGTGGTAACACTGGTATTGCCCTTGCCCACATTGGAACCATACGAGGGTACAAGGTGATTATTGTTATGCCCGAGTCTATGTCAATAGAACGTCGATGTTTGATGCGGATTTTTGGTGCTGAAGTTATCCTTACACCCGCGGCACTTGGTATGAAGGGCGCTTTGGAAGCAGTAAATCGCATTGTCAGCAATAATCCGGATGCAGTTTCTGCGAATCAGTTTGCCACCAAATATAATGCTCAAATCCACGAAGAAACAACTGGACCGGAGATTTGGCGGCAGACCAAAGGTCATGTCGATTGCTTTGTGGCTGGCGTGGGGACAGGTGGAACGATAACTGGTGTGGCGCGATACCTCAAATCGGTTGGATGTGGCGCCACGATATTTGCTGTGGAACCTGCAGAATCTCCCGTTCTCTCGGGTGGTAAACCGGGCCCCCACCGTATACAAGGGATTGGGGCCGGCTTTGTCCCGGAAGTATTTGAAGCAGCCTTGGTGGATGAGGTGATTCAGGTCTCTGGTGATGAAGCGATTGACACTGCGCAAAAATTGCCCCGTACGGACGGCATATTCTGTGGATTTTCAGGAGGGGCAAATGTTTATGCGGCTCTGCAAATTGCAAAGCGTCCAGAAATGGCCGGAAAGACCATTGTTACAGTTATCCCATCTTATGGTGAGCGCTACCTTTCCACCGCACTCTACTCAAGTATAAAGGATGAGGTTTTTGCTCTGAAAGTACTTTCGGCAGCTGATATTTGATGCTTCCATATTATACAATGGGTGTGTATTTATTTATAATTGTTTAGCACTTTTGATGTTTTTTTTTTTTTTTTTTTTTTTTTTTTTTTAAGGCTTGAATAAAATATTAATAACAATAATAATAAAAGAAGGCCGGGGGGTGAGGAGTGAGGGAGGAAAGATGGCTTTTTTTTTTTTTTTGAATGTCGTTTTTTTTTTTTTTTTTTGTTTTGGTTGTTGTTTTCTGTTATTTCGTGTTTATTTATTTTTTTGCGTTCGAGTGTTATATATATATATATATATGTGCTTGTGAGAATTTTGAGTTTTTACAGCTTTTAAATGAAAGTTTTTGGATGTGGGGGTGGAAGGAGAAAGTGTGTGTGAGCAAACACCATGTTTAGTTGTTTTTTTTTTTTTTTTTTTGGTTTGTTTGTCAGTTACTTGATTTTCGCTCAAAAATGAAAATGTTAACAAAAAAAAAAAAAAAACAACAACTAAAAACAAAGTAAAAAAAAAAACTGATTTATTTGAAAGGGAATAAATACGAGGAAATATATGCGTGTATTTGAAATATTGAGGAAGAGCTGGTGGCCCTTCCGCCTTTAACCCCCTCTTCCTTTTTTTTTTTTTTTTTTTTGGTTTGTTTGTATATCATATATATATATATATGTATATGTATTGTTACGGGTGACCCTATTTTCTTTTTAAAAATCTGCTTCTTAGGCTGTTTGACAGTTTAGTGGGGAGAGGGGGGTGGGTGGGCTGATATTCTTTTAAATATGGGTTACGAAAATGTATTATTGCGACTTACCGATACGGAACGTGAGGACCTACAGTTGCTCATAGCCGCCTTAAAGGTTAGCGAATATACAGATGATGTGGATGATATACGACATCCTAACAGTCGTGAGGAAAGAATGTATCGTTGCATGCGTGAGCTTTTTGATACAACTTTGGGCCTTTGTATTGCATCGGGTAGCGTTTCACGAGAGGTGCGAGAGGAAGTTGCTAGAGGTAATACGGATGTTCGTTTGACGATAAGTATTTTAATAGGTTTGTTTGAGATTTTTCGACGCCACAAGCGACTTAATCCTTTCAGCAATAGAAGCGAGTTTGGGAAGCTAACCATGCTGCTTCAGGATGTTCAGAAACGGTCCATTCAGGAACGACTACGCATATCCCACAGTTTGCTGATTCCAGTTCAGACAGTTGGGATGGAACTGCGAAGGGTTGGGGCTGAAGAATTGCTTACAGATCGTGATGTAGATAAATATTTGGTGACCCACGGAACGGAGAAGGCGGCGGTTTTGCAAAAATTATTAGACCGTTATGGAGGGAGCGAATGTAAACCCGTTGTGGAGCGATGTCTGCGCTCTATCGATGACGTTTCACAATTTATTGAAGGAAATGTTCGACCCCTACGCTGGTTGCGGCAGATTATCTGTGAAGAGTTTCTTCCGCTGGATGGAAACCCTAAATATGACTTATCCATTCGTGCTGGCGTCAATGGCGCTAAGTTTTCTCATGATCACAAACGTCATTGCCAGTACGTGGTAGAATCTCTGACATTATGGGAAAATGTGCAACGCAATATATTTGATTTTTGGCAGGTTTCTGAAGATGACATGCTTATTGATGGTGATGGTCATTATACCTTTGTAAACACCGGACAAGGTTTTCACCGCATGTGTCGTGCACCAAAGAGTTACTCCCGTATGGCGAGATGTGTAAGTGAGGCGGATCAAGAAATGGGCGGCTGGGTGGGAATAAAGGTCATTCACTTGGGAGATCGCGATGTGCCGAACCCGTTGGTGTTCATTGACAAATACACCGTCATTCCCCGCATCGTTCAACCAATAATGCACACCATCAGGA